TATATATATGTATATATATATATGTATATATATGTATATATATATATGTATATATATGTATATATATATATGTATATATATGTATATATATATATGTATATATATCTCTTCTGCTTCATTGTAATTTGGTCTCCAGCTGTAAAAGCCTTGGTGTCATTTTTGATCCGATTGTCATTTAACACTCACATTAAAATATGACCAGGAGCACGTTCTTCCACTTAAACAATATCACTAAAATTAGAAACTTTGTGTTCCAAAATGATGCAGGAAAACTAATTTATCACACAAGGCTGGACTTTTGTTATGGGTAACCAAAAAACTTTTTAAAGTCTTCAGCCGAGCCAAAATGCAGCTGCTAGAGAGATCATATTTTTCCAGTTTTATCTTTTTTGGCTCTCTGTCATATTCAGAACATACTGTAATTAAAAATCATACTTCTAACATACAAAGCTCTGAACAACCAAGCTGCATCTTACATTAAAGATTTAACGGTCATTATATTTAACAGTACTTCACTCCCAGAGTGCAGGTTTACTTGTGGTTTCTAGAGTTTTGAAAAGTACGTGTGAATGTTTGCTCTGAGATGATATTTGGCGTGCACTGGCCCAAAATAAACAAAATGAATAGAATTAAAATTGATTTCCAATGTGTAACTTTAATTATTGGTCTACTGTTTCGTCATAGATTTCCACTGTGATTATTAATGTGTCTGCTGCCACCTGCTGGCTTAAAAACAAGTTTGTATTAAAATGTGAATGGGAAAACGAGTTACTTCATTATTTTATTTATAATATTCTCAGGAAAAAACATTGCAGAACTGCAAAACTGGGTGAATTTAGGGGAAAACTGATGTCCAGTATGAGAGTTTGTTCTACAATTCTATTTAAAACAAATACAATTTTATATATTCTTAGTATTGTTTTATGCACCTAAAAATGACTTCAGTATGCAGCCTGAATTCTGGGGTAATAAAATCAACACAGTTTACTCAAGAGTTACCTACAAATGAAAAGTCTGAACATTTAAATATGAATAAAGGAGTGGGTATTTTTTTCAGTTGAATATTTATTTAAAGAATTAATTAAAATAGTGTCAAAAGTCTTTCCTCCTTATGTTTATAAGGTTGTTCATTAAATCAAGAATAGTGTAACCAAAGTGATATGAAACTGTGTTTTCAAAAAGTTTTATTTTTTGTCCAGATGATCTGAATTAACTTTCTTAGATGAGTTTAAAAAATGTTCACATTAAGAATACATGTAATGTTGATAACTTTTTCCACCAATTCAACTATCAACTAGCTCATAGCTTGGCTATTTTATTAAACCATTCTACGTATAAAATCTATTTTTCATATTTTTGACTTTCTCTGTTGGCACGCGTCTTCTTTAATGACACGCGCGGTTGTGTTCTGCCTTTAAAGGATCTAATTGGTTACTGGATAAACACGTGACAGAATTTTAGCCAATCAAATCAAGAGTATTGGCCAATGAGAGAAAGCGATTTTCTTAGTCCCGCCCTTTAAGCTAAAGTCAATGCTAAGGTGTTAGCTTGTCAGTCTAGTCTGCAGGTTGATAAAGTTAGCGTTAATCTTTTGCCAGTAAATCAGTTTTTGCGTCTTTAGACAACGCAAATTAAATATATTACATAACTGCCAGAGTTTATTATTTTCGGTTATTTTTATTTTGAATGGTTTGAATTGGGTTACCGCCCCCAGGTTTCCTGTCATCGACAAGCTAATCGTTCCTTTAGTCTTTTTAAAGCTAGTTCTTCCCTCCAGCTCATCACTCGTATCGTATCGATATTACTCCTCCATAAGCGATTAAGGGAAGTCGTGCTTCTTCCTACGAGCCCTTTCAACAAACTATCTGCTCCTCTTCTGCTTCAATATGAGTGATGTTTGGCAGGAATGTATGGATTTTTGTGTCGAGGTCACCAAACAGGCAGGCAAGGTAAGACGAGGTTTTACTAGACTATTTTGGATTCAGAGCAAACCCGGATTAACTTCGTCCACATACTGTCAGATCTTTCAGTTTTACCAGGAAGTATTTAACACATTTAATGTATTTAAGGCTCAGACCATAAATAGCTATAAAACATGCATAAAATAGTTGTTTTTATGGCTGCTATAGTCATAATGAAAAAGGCTGATTTATTTGTTCTATTAAATTATTTATGAAGTAAGTTAAAATTCTGTTGTAAACTTCTTATTGGATATTGAATGACCAGCATTGTAAGTTATGATTATCAGATGAAACAGATGTTTTAATAGATGTAAAAAAAATGAGTAAAACTTATGCGTATAAAGAGGTTTTCATCTATTTTTTGTGAGGATTAATAGTATTGGTAGACTAGACAGAATATGTAATAAAATATAGAGATATGTCACTAGAACACACCATGTGTGGTTCATCAAAGGTGAAGATGTAGTTTGTTGTGTTTCTGCCAGATGATCTGTGAGGCGCTCCAGAAGGACATAGCTGTCATGCAGAAGAGCTCACCGGTTGACCTCGTGACCGAGACGGACCAGAAAGTGGAGCAGCTCATAATTTCTTCCTTAAAGGGAAAATACCCCACACACAGGTACTCCGCTTCACTGCTAAACCAGAACATGTGAAAAGATGCGCACA